TTCGACTTAAAACGCCAAGTCCTATTAAAAAGATCTATGCTGTAGTTGGGTACTTCTCATTTACACTCTTTGATGGTCACACAATAATAGTTCATAAACGGTATAAATTAGAACAATACCTTTGAAATCAGGTGATAAAATATCTACATATTTAGCTACATACAAAATAAATTTTATCGTAATAGAAGCAAAAATAATACGAAAAAATCACATGAAACGATAAAAAACGGGGTCATTTTTCGCGTTCTCATCGTGTCACACCTTCAGTTGCAATGAAACATTTGGTTACTGCATTCACAATTTTCATTCAATTTGTGTGTAGCATAAACTAAAATCATCGTAATTAAATATACTTTCCACACAATAGTCAAAAAAATATCTTCTTATAATTATTTTGAATTGAGAAAGCGAAATACGTTGGTCACACGATTTTAGGTACCTAAAATTTTGAGTAATAATACAAGATTGCCGTTAAACCGAACACCAGGAACCAATCACAGTGTTCTATTCGGTTAACGTCAGTAACGCTTCGACCATTGGGGAGNAGACATAAAATTCGCCACGAAGGTGACGATGAGAACCGTGGCGATGAGAAATAGCCACTTAATTAATTAGCAAGCCAAAGTCTTCTTCCCATCTTTTAATTCTCAATTGAACAATATATTTTACACGGGAAGCATCCAATCTTCCATATGGTGCTTGAAAATAAGTAATCAACATTTATTGGATATGAAGCATCACAAAGTCTTCTTTTTGGCTTCACAACCTTATTCAGGCCTAAGGCGAATCAATTTTGAGAAATTGTGGGCTAATGAGGTAAGATCGCTTGCTTATGATGTATAACAGAAACACATACAATGTATACTAAAACATATTGGCTAATATTTAGAAGGTCATTTATTATCATTTATGAGGCGTTTTCAAAGGTTATGTAAGTTTCTTAATAACTTTTAGGCACCGTTTACTCCAATTTCTGCGATGTTCTATGGTATTAATTCCGCCAATGTATTGTTTTTGTGCAGTTTTAATTGTATTTGCAAAATTGAGTCTACGTTTAGCTTTACTCTTGTAGTTCTTCTGTCCATTAGCGGAAATTATATCTCCCGGTGTTTATATTAGGGAGCAAAAATATTTGGGCAGGATATTGATATTAATTGTAACATTTAAAGTGAAAACGTTTTAGAACAATAACAAGAACTTAATTACTAGGTTGTAGTCGTCAATTAAAAATCCTATTACTTTTGTGAAATAGATCTCCATGGTTAACTAGCTATCTGAGTTATAATTTGTTTTTTTTTGTGACAAAATTTTTGTTTAAACAGATTATTATGGTTTTTGTAAGCTTCAGTATTTTATTTTTCATCCCTTAAATTAAATTTGTGTCTTCATGCATCTCTAAAAAGTTAGTAACAATTTACAATAGAGATATCCTTTAAAATTGCCGGCGGCAAATTGTNTTTTTTTAAAAATTAATTATTTGTCACGTTATCTCATGTTTACCTATATTACGGCGGCCATTAAAAAAGTACTTGAAGATTATTTTCTCTCTTTCCTTCTCTTATTGATTCTCAAGGGGTTAATTACGTAGTGAGTCTACTGTCACATAAATCTCTTGTAATAATATTATTTTATCGAAGTTATAAAACGCTATGTATCTTGTTCCGTGAGGCGTGTACGTTGAAATTGTTAATTAAGAAACTTCTGTATTGAATTCCGACTTCAAAGTTTGTTGAATAACTAGTATTGTTTGAAATTTATAATGAAGTTGCCCTCATTGAGATCTGTTTCTAATGAATGTTTGACTGAAATGAAAAATCCAGACGGTTCTATCAAGTCAAAAGACAGTAATACTGTAGGTAGAGTATCTAAAACTATACTTTAAAATTAGACAGTAAATAAAGGTTAGTTTTTAATTTACCATTTATTGTTTATTTTAGTTTGTTCAAGTTTTGAATTGAGCTAAAATATGCATAGGATTTTGGCACAAGGATAAATTAAAGAGGAATTTTTTAGACCTTCGTTTTAATCAGTTAAATAAAAGATGAATCAAAATTAAAAACGTCTTTACTTGTGTGGACTAATTAATTTAGGAGATAGGGTTACTCCTGCCTTTACGTGTCATTATTTTTTTCTTTTGTGTGTTTTGAGTTACGACAAAAGTACGGTAGAGCACTAAATTCCTATCTCCACATTGCACATCTATAAAATCCACAATACAGGGTGGCCATACATTACTCATGATGTTTATTCCCTTACTACCCATTCATCGCGACAGCTTGGTTTACTGCTCAATCCAATGTCAGACATTCCGTATGCATTGAACGATGTCAAGTTTCTTTTATCTCTAATAAGATTCCAATTCGTATATTTCTGACGGACGCACCCTAAAGTAATAAACTAGTAGTAGTTGCTAGGTTGCGTTTCCATTGTAGTAGAGAATGCATCGCGAAATGGGATTTTACTTTTATTTTTATTAGATCATGTAGGATCAAAGAAATTATAGTTATTTAGCTAAAGAAAAGCCGGATTTACTTAAGCCTTATAAACAACGAGAAAAATCTTAAAACGTCGGATGGAAATAAAGCTAAAATTAATTCGATTAATTATAAAATTATGACTGAAACTTTATTATATTTTCAATAACTTGATAATGTTGCATGTAATATAATAACATCATTAATGCTCGTCAGATAAAAAAATGTTGAGTGTAATGCTTTGTTAAAGTATCTACCCATAATGATAATAATGTGTAACAGTACGAAAAAACTAGAAAATTTTCATACTTATCCTAATTTATATTTTAAAATTAATTAATTAATCTAAGTTTTTTTTTCAATAATTTCTTATTCAAATCAATAATGTCTTAAAGCCTAAGGCTGAGTTACACCACCTAACTTTGACTATAACCGGTGCTTTTGTTTGGATTTTGACAGATTTTTGACGTTTATCATAGTTAAAGTAAGATGGTGCAACCCAGCCTAAGAAATCGTATCGTCACTTACAACGGAGACAGGTTCAATTGCGTATACGGAATCCGTCGAATTTGTAGAACAAATATAAATGGTTGAGGGTAGATCAGGGGAGATAATTACATTTTTTGATCTCCCGGCAGGGGATGTCGGGGGTCTTTGTATTAGGCCTGATAGTGTCACTGATAGGAAACGGGGGAAATATACTCTTAAGTATAAGAGGTGTTTGGGGTAAACAATCGGAAAGTATGGTAGCAAGTTTCGTTTAGTTTAGCGCAGAATTGGTAACTCTACATTGATGACATGGATGACGTAATTGTTTTTATTACTAGCTGCCCCGGCGAACGTTGTACCGCCTATCATCATCATCATCATCTCAACCATAGGACGTCCACTGCTGAACATAAGCCTCCCCCAATGCTTTCCATGTTACCCGGTTGGTGGCGGCCTGCGTCCAGCGACTTCCTGCTACTTTTGCAGCAAGCTAGGTTCTGGAGTGGAGGCCGCGTACCGGAAAACGCAGAGTGAGACAGCCCACAAGGTGGGCCGACGACATCATAAAAGTACCGCCTATGCTCATCAGAAATAATGTAGGATTTGAATGGTAAAATAATTTTTCAAATCGGTGCAGCAGTGTCGGGTCTTATTCAATATAAACGAACAAATCTCTCCTCTTTATAATATTAGTGTAGATATCGAAATCCGCTTTGGATTATACCAAATACATTTTAAATGAAAAAGAAAAGCTAAATATCAAAATTCACTTTAAACAAGAGCAAACACATTTATATGAAACAGCAAAGCTACATATTTATAGTGAGCTCTACTTGTTAAATAAATATCTGATACCATTTTAGATAATGTCACGTTTTTCGTGAAAACTGTAACCAAAAGTTTAGTTAGCGATAAAAAATAAACAAATAGAGATCTTTGAATGGTTCATGTGTCACCCTGTGCGTCCACGAGCACTGTGACACCTCATAGTAATGTTTGTTAATATGGGCGTTAGTGTATTTAGCTTCGACTCGAATTAAAGTACCAAGTCCTATTAAAAAGTTGTATGCTGTAGTTAATTAATTAGCAAGCCAATGTCTTCTTCCCATCTTTTGCTTCTCAATTGAACAATATATTTTGTACGGGAAGCATCCAATTTTCCATACGGTGCTTGAAAATAAGTAATCAACATTTATTGGATATGAAGCATCACAAAGTCTTCTATAAACCAAAGGGTTGGCTTCACAACCTTATTCAGGCCTAAGGCGAAACAATTTCATATAACGAGAAGTTGTGAGCTGATGAGGTAAGATCGCTTGCTTATGATGTATAACAGAAACACACAATGTATACTAAAACATATTGGCTAATATTTAAAAGGTTATTATCATTTATGAGGTCCACCGTGTGGGTGGACGTCTCACGCTGCGTTTTCAAAGGTTATGTAAGTTTCTTAATAACTTTTATGCACCGTTTACTCCAGTGTAAGCAATGTTCTATGGTATTAAGTCCGCCAATGTATTGTTTTTGAGCAGTTTTCATTGTATTTGCAAAAATGGTCTAGCTTTAATCTTGTAGTTCTTCCGACTATTAGCAGAAATTCATATCGCCCGGTGTTTATATTAATGGACAAAAATATGTGGACAGGACATTAAAAAATAAATAAGAGTTAATATTTATAGTAAACGTTTTAGAACAATAACAAGAACATAAGATTTCCATGTTGTATGTAGTTAATCAACTTTATCAATCCAATTTTTTTTTGTATAATAGTATCCCCATGACTAGCTATGAGGTATGATCTGGTATTTTTTGTTATAAAGATTTGTTTAAACAAATAACCTATTACAATTTTTGTAAGCTTCAACGTACAGTATTTTATTGTTCATTCCTAAAATTAAATTTGTGTCTTCTTGTATCTCTACAAAGTTAGTACCTAACAATTTACAATAGAGATATCCTTTAAAATTGTCGGCGGCAAATTGTCGCCTCCGAGTTCGTTCCACTTGCATCAAATCGAAAGCAATTAAATCTTACCCAGCAGCTTCATAACTTCTGCCTTGCTGATCAGCACGTTCAGATGGCTGGTCGCCAGCGGCAACACAAGCCATACTGCCCAGGCGATGATCAGTCTTTTGGTAGCCATCTCACTCACTTTCAAGTCATTTCAGTTTCACTTTACAGTTCATTTCACTTGTTTTAAAAACAAAAGAAAACTACGTCCCATCCATGGCCGGTTAGAATTCGAATTCGAAACTCAAATTTTGAAAATTCAAAAACAACTGACAGTTTATACTTTTTCTGCTACGTAAGATCGTAGCGAGTTCGGTGCGTGGACGATACGCGTCGCGTCCGCGATCCCGCGCCGCACTGCCGACTCAGTGGATGGTAAACCAACAAGTTACTTTGGGGCATGCGCAGTTCAGTAAAGGTATACTTACCGGTTATTTTTGTTTTTGTACTTTTGATAGGGATGAAAGTTGTGATAGTGAATGANCACACTGATTTTCAAACTCATTCACGAGTTTGAAAATCAGTGTGAGGGCATCACATTATTACGTCCTATTTCGAACTTTCGACATTTTCAATTCTTCAGTTTAGTTGAAATTTTATTTATGTACTTTTCAAGTATGTACTTTTTCTGTATGTCAATGAAGTGAGTCTATTTTTGATATGCTACTTAAACTTTGTATTCGGCAATAAAATACAGTGTAAAATGTTTTCAGGCGTTTATAAGACAATACCTACAAAGAATATATTTCCGAACACTATAATCAGGGCCTTTTCAAAGCGAGAGTGAATAGACACTTACAGGGCAGATATTATGTACCATCCTAGACTGCATATCCCTTAACACCAGGGGCGATTACGGCCAAATACCTACCTGTCTTGTTATGCATAAAAAATTCTGGGGTGCATAAAAAAATAACTGAAACAGGTACAGTCGCTAAGTTTCGTTCTCTTTTCACTTATGTTTTATGCCAGTAACAAATTTTTAAACCTGGAATAGGAATAAAAATATTCAAAATTGTTGCGCCTCCCGCTCAAAAGGGTTTTGAAAGTAACAAAGTTACGTTATCGAAAAGTTCTTTCAGACAGAGTCAAAATGTGTTTAAATTTTAAAAGGCTTCCATTGAGAGAGACTGTTTTAAAGGGAATTAATTGAATTTGTCTCAGGGGGCGGCGTTTCCGTTTTGCATTAGGCCCGTAGTCGTAGCTAAATGAAAACAGCTGGGTTAAACTTAGTAATACGTTCACTATGGATTGATTGTTAAACGATTTTGCTAAACTTGAACTAAGAATAGGGTCTGTAACAGATAATGTGTAACAAAAAACTTTGAATAAAAGTTAAATCCATTTGTAAGTTAAGCTTTATAAAAATTGGTCAGTCACCAAATTCATATTTTTACTGCTATGTAACCTATGTCTTGAACAATAAATATACGAAAAATCCAAATCATAATATGAAACAAATGTTTTGTTTAGTCAACGAAAATTAATGTAGTGTAATAAATTATTTTCATGAAATAATAAAGCATGCGTAGCGTAGATACACCCGACAACAGCTGTATCAAGNATATTTACAAGTCAACTGAACTGGCTCATCTATCCATACTACCCTGTAGTTGTAATGAAATTACACTCTCTTTCATAGATGGAGCGCGTTTTGCTATGCAGTCAATATTAATGATGTTAGAGCAAAGCTTAGTGAGGAAATAGGGTTATCCTGCGCTGTAGAACTTCGTTTGGCCGTGCAGGCTGCTAGCTGCTAATGTCTTTAAAAGGTTTCCGATAGGTGTAGGCTAATAGAATTACTGTGTGATTTATCTAATCGGGACACTTATTTAAGTAAGAGTTTTAATTAGTCCGTTAGTTAACTTATCAAAAAAACTCGACCCGTATTTTTCACTAATGAAAATTTAAAGAGATAAGCGTGTCAAAGTTGAAAAGAAGAGGTCCGTGACGTCAATGAGTGCTTAAAAGTGTAGCACTTTGTGACGTCGCGCGCGCGGAACTTCAACGCACCATAACTTTGTAGTTATTTGTTTGATTGACAGTTAAAAATGTATGCGGGTCTTATATTTTTTATACTAAAATTGACAGACTCAAAATTTTTTTAGGGAACTAGCCTGTTGCCCGCTAAGTGTGCGCTTTTTAGTAGCTGCCTCTACACTTGTTTTCAACTAATGCTGAAAAGCTGAACGCCATCATTGCATGAGGAGCCTTTTGAGGAGGAATGTCTTACCATCAGGTGTCGCTAGGCGGCAATTTGCTCACCGTGCACCCACTCATGTAAGTCAATATTAATGATGTTAGAGCAAAGCTTAGTGAGGAAATAGGGTTATCCTGCGCTGTAGAACTTCGTTTGGCCGTGCAGGCTGCTAGCTGTTAGCTGCTAATGTCCTCAAAAGGTTTCCGATAGGTGTAGGCTAATAGAATTGCTGTGTTATTTATCTAATCGGGATCCCTATGATCTATTTCTCAGCATTTAATGATATAATGTTGTTTATAAGTACAATAATAATGTTAGTTTTTCTGTAGAGTTCAGGAAAAATGTGAAAATTAGTCTTCTTCTTTACCTTCAATATTATAACTTCTCTGCCTCGCCTAATCCCGTTACCTGAACATTGCCGACCATTTAATTTTGATCCTATCATAAACGTCTAGTTTAAGATAGGATCAAAAGTCTTAGGTTAGTTGATTAACCCTNGTATCAAGTCAACTGAACTGTCTCATCTATCCATACTTCCCCGTAGTTGTAATAAAATTACACTCTCTTTCATAGATGGAGCGCGTTTTGCTATGCAGTCAATATTAATGATGTTAGAGCAAAGCTTAGTGAGGAAATAGGGTTATCCTGCGCTGTAGAACTTCGTTTGGCCGCGCAGGCTGCTGGCTGTTAGCTGCTAATGTCCTTAAAAGGTTTCCGATAGGTGTAGGCTAATAAAATTGCTGTGTGATTTATCTAATCGGGTTCCCTATGATGTTATGTTTCAAACTCGTTCGTTCGTTCGTTTCAACCGAAAGACGTCCACAGCTAGACAAAGGCCTCCCCCAAGGATTTCCACAAAGACCGGTCCTGCGCCGCTTGCATCCAGGTACCTCCCGCGACCTTCACCAGATCGTCGGTCCACCTAGTGGGAGGCCAGCCCACGCTACGTCTTCCAGCTCGTGGTTGCCACTCAAGAACTTTCCTGCGCCAGCGGCCATCAGCTCTTGAGCTATGTGCCCCGCCCACTGCCACTTGATTTTCAAAATAATATGTTATAAAGGTGTTCTTTCTGGGAAATGATATTTGTTGTTTCTGTCAGCAATTCAGTGTAAGTAGAGTTCAGGAATGGTCGGGAGTTTAGAAAACATAAGAAAATGAGTCGTCTTCTATACACTACTATAATATGAGGAATAAGGATACTTATAGCCTGACCAGGAACATAAAAACCCTCGCCATGTTGCGGAAAACTAATGGTACTAATTTCTTTTAACCCATTCCTCCCCACTGTCCTATTTATAGGCCACCATATTCAAAATTTTTTTTTTACAAGTTAATAAACTTATTTTTCTTGTTTTTGACAAAATTCGTATTCTTGCACTGTTATTCTAATAAAATAATTTTTTTCGGCTGCAAAAAGTGTATCCGTTATTTTAATGTAATTTTTTCAAATTAACACTTTTGTTGCCTCAAAAAGGAGCATCATATTTTGATTTTATATACCATAATATAAAAAAACTGGCCAACTCCAATTTACATAAAACTGATTCTTAGACATCTACTAATATATAAAAAAATTAAACATAAACGAAACATAATTTAAAAACTTGTGGTAATGTTTTAAAATAAGCCGTACTATAAATATGACACTGGGAACATGTCTATACAATTTTCCGCGAAAGCATTTTCGGATCTGCAACGATAAGCACTAGTTCAAACGTGTCAATTGTTTATAGCCTGACCAGGAACATAAAAACCCTCGCCATGTTGCGGAAAACTAATGGTACTAATTTCTTTTAATGGCAACAGTAACTGAAAACTTCATTGACATGTCACCTTGCATGTCAGTCTATTGTTGTCAAAGTGTAAACAAACTTTATTTTAAATGTGTGCAATTGATTTTGTGAATTAAATTGCTAAAATATTTTTATAGTCGTGAAAGAAAAGTGGTTCACGATGTGTTAATGTATTTGTCGAAGAGAAATACTAAGGGTTCGGACAATATTTTCATTGAATAATGTTTCCGACAAAGGTTGTCAAATTGACTGACATGTTTATCGTATAGTACAGTCCACTATGAAAATTAGCTGTAGTCTGTTTCAACTACCTATTTTAAAGTTTTTTGTCACTTTCTAAGTTTTGAATTTTATGGAATTGGGAAAGAAGTACCGAGTTTGAAGCGTTCATGAGCAGACATTGCAGTTGAATATTCAAGTTCTGAATTTGATTATTGATGAATAATAAAATAAATCGTACTAGCTCGATTGATGGTTTCATTTAATTTATTTAAACCAGGTTAACTTTAATAATATTTTTCGTTCATTTATGAAAATATCTAATTAGCCCGTAATCCTGAATCCTGATACATAAATTTAACACATGTACGACTGTACTCAGTGTTGCACTATCAAATGCAATTAAAGCGCCTCTATGCCAGGGTTTTTATGTTCCTGGTCAGGCTATACCAGGGATACCTAGACAATACGTGAAATAGCTGATATTCTCATTTCTCGGCGACATTACATACGTAATATTATAGGTTACTTGGTAAGATTATTTGTAAACCTCAAAAATTCACAAATTCCTTCGATTACTGACATGTCTTTTTCACCTCCTGTTTTCGCCTCCGAGATTTATAAGTATAGGTAGTTTATCATCTATAGCAACTAGAAATATTTCCGTATTCCAACATTTTTCCTTAGTTTCTTTACTTAATATTCCAACATAAGCGGGTCTAATTAGTGAATCAGCTGCTTAGCACCCCACCTCGGATCCATCCATCAGCCGTCCGATCGCTTATGCATTCCCCCGCTAAACACACGGCGTTCTTACTTTACCTACTTGTTTGTTGTTTTCCACTCCATTTATAGGAATAAGTAATTATACCTACATTTTTTCAGTATCACACATCATCATTGTTTCAGTCACAAAGACGA